TAAATTTCATCCAAAACCATCCATCTGTTACAGCTTAAAAAAGGAACAAAGCAACGAACAAACACAAAAAACCTTCTCATTTATAGCAATACAACAAGAGTTCACCCACAACACCCCACAGAACATAACTTACGTTATCACAATAATCTACGGCTAAGCCATAAAACTAGACCGATCAAAAACTGGCGTACAGAGAGGCATAAATCAAAAGTTAACTATGACGCAACTGATTATATTCGCAGCGGGCCGATAATAGCAACGCGACGCCATAATGAGCGGCCAAATAACGCTGTTTTGATTTAATGACACGAAATAATAACAATCAATACGTTGGATGGTAGTTTTGGCAGATTTTCATTAAATTACTTAATATTTCTATAAAATGTATACGTATATATATTGGGTGTCTGTGTTAGTTAGAAGATAGTATACACAGGATAGTTTGCTTTGTACATATGTGTATTAAAAGGGATGCAGTAATGAGATTTTATTATTTATTTACACAAAATATAAAGATAGTATAAGGAATAGCAAAATAGATAGTCCAGTGGTAACGCGCTCGCTTGAAAACCGAATGAAGCGGGCTTAAATCCCGGGTCTCACACCTCTGATATTTTCATGTGCGAATCATTTCCAACATGATTATCACTTGTCTTACGGTAAAGGAAAACATCGTGAGGAATCCTGCATGCCTGAGAGAATTTAGCAAATGTTCGAAAGTCATATGAAGTCGCCAACCCGTACTTAGCTAGTGTGGTGGACCGGATCCCCATCGTATGAATTACGTATAAAGGCACAGGCTAGCAGCAGTTAAATAAAAAAAAGTGTTACGACATTTGAACAAAGGGTGTTTTAAATCTTTTGCATGCACATTTCCTTCCAATATGATTTATATCCCTCGCTATTATTGATAAAAAAATATAATATAGGGAAGCCTACATACTAAGAGAACAATAATAGTTTTCGAAAACAGCGTAAAATCTGCAAATCTGTATTTGGCCAGCATGACAGAATATTGCCTGATCGTCGCATTTAAAGAAGAATGCACATACTCGTAGCTGTGGGATATTAGAAAGGATGAAAAATTATTATCAGTTACATATATGTACCTACTAAACTCATGCAGCGAAATACAAGAAATTTGAAATAGTATAACAAATTTCACAACACTATCTAAATCAAAAATATAATATCAGATGCTCTTAAGAAAACCTAGTATGAGGCCAACAATCCGTAACACAATAAACCAATAAAACAGAAGTATAAATAAAAATAACTGCTTGATATAAATAAGGTAGTTCCAGTATTTGGGGGGTTGCTGTATATCATGAGCTCAAGGCGTCTTGTCAGCGACTTGAGTTATGGCGTCACAGAACATAAAATGTACAAAAACTGTTGTTCCTCCAACAGTTTTGTCCCATATTAAGAATGAGCGTAAACATAACTTGGATTTGGGATACTAATAATGATATGGAGTCGCTGTTTATTGTATATTTTTTGACGGTCACCGTGTTTGCATTTTTATGTTATGTTAATATTGGAAAAATGTTAGTTGGCTTTGATTAGTGTGTAGTTTTTTTTTAATATATAAATAAAAACGACTGTTGGCTGTTATAGGTACATTTCGTTTTAGTTTTACGTAACAAAATTTTAATAAACAAGTACACTGAAACAAGTTTAAATTACTGCACTATTCAAATAACTTTCGAAAACTTCTATTGATTAAGTAGATGGAAATTGTTTTTGGTTTAATCCATGCCCGACGGACATATAAAATTTTTATGAATGAAAAATTAACACAACTTAAAAGTCGGTATACAATTCATACACAAAAAACGAGCTAAAATAACCACCCGATTATATTTTTTTTAAATCAGTCAAAAATTACGCAAAGGAATAATAATTGTTTGAATAATATATGTAAATTAACACTTACATAAAAGAGGAAATCTAATAAAATATTTAGATTGGCATCAGCTATACTTCTTCTCCATTCATTTTTACGAAACTCCCCTTCGTGCGCTTCATGTATTTTCCAAGATAACTTGCACTTTTCCTGTCCGAAATATCAAATTTATAATAGAAGGGTGGACTACGGTTATCTATTCTTACTGATGAGCTGAAATAGCTCAGTTAAAACAAACTGGGCCAGTAAGATTCACGAGTTTAAAATTTAATCATATTATTCTAAGATGTTTTAAATTAAATCTAAGAAACCCAAAGTCTACGTAATAAATACACGTATAGTAAAAATATATATCAAAATTATACATTAAATATTAAAAATGATCTTTCATGTTTAAAATATATAACCTGCTTACTTTTTAAACTTTTTTTCATCTGACGGCTACTGATGTCGACTAGAATGATTAGCCCAAGCGATGAATAAGCATTTACTATGTATATCGCTTCGAGCTAGCAGTTTTAAATGAATTTTATTTTGATGACCACGATATAAATAAGACGATTTTATTAAAAAATCCTGCTGACATTTGTGTTATTAACCAGAGTGGCTAAACTTACAGAAAAAACTACAGTCTAGGTACAAGTATGAGCAACGCAATGCACTATCTATTTCTCTCAGTAGTGCGATACCTTATATCCAAAGTAGGTACGTAGTGGACATGCGTATTAACTAATCAATGATTTTAAAAACAAAACTCTTTCTATCATTAAATAGTATTATTCTTAAGATTCTACGATTATACGAGTACACAAATGTACTAACTAATCTCAAAGTTAGGAAAGTAAAATTATCTAGCTAATTTGAGGTAGGTCTGAAGTAAAAATTCAAACAAAACAAAGTTAAAGAGTAGTTCAATGTCAAAACTCAAATCTGAATATTAATAAGTAATATGGCAGTCTCCATATCATTCTCTACGCGCCACACTTCTCCCAATTCAAGCCCAGATCGCGGCGTAATTCGTTATTTTTATTGTTTTTTGTTATTATCATTCTGTCCCCCGGATTACTGTGTATGATACACGGCCGGCACTGGATGCGTTTAATTGCCACGGACGCTTTACACTCGGCGATAAATAATAAGATTAAGGTACTAGATTTGGATGTTTATGAAAGAACATAAGTTTACCCTAGTTTATGTTGTACCTACATTGTACAATTTATTTTTTCGTTACTTTTGGGGTATATGGTGGGTTTTTCTTATATGATTAAATGGTGGAATGTCCGATTAAGGACATTTTATTTTTTAATGTTAGAAATAATTAATAAATAAATAGTAATTTTTAGACAAATAGTTCGATATTGTATTAAAAATTTAGTTTTTTCTACATTTACCTTACGGTATCTACAGATGTTTATATCTTCTTATTTTTGTTTTGCTAAGCGACAAAGACTATTTACTTATAAACATAAAACATATTTTGTCTAAAGATGCGCCAAATATACTCAAAAAACATCCACAACAGAAAAAAACAGTTTTAGACATATAATAATTTTGAAATTAATAACGAAGTAAAACCAGCTATCTTGATTTAGATAAAATTAAAAAAAAAAACCAAACCCCTTGCATTTGATGCCAATAAATCACACGCCCCTATTAAAATATCACATTGGCGTAATAAGCTTCATACAATGGAACATAACAATCAGAGCAACGTGTTTAGTTAAAACGAATTTATGATAGTATTTGTTGGTCGTTACAGTGAAATACTGATTTAATTACAGAGGTACCTCCGCTAAGCAAGTTATATATCGCTTTATACTTAGAACAATAAACGTTATCGTTATTTTATATCATATTACAATTATCTTTAATGAAACAGTGTTAGCAGTATCGTTGTATATAACACAGATAAACTAAATTATTTATTTTTTTAATAAGTTAAAGGTTCACATAATACTTTCTTAGATTTACGCGAATGTTTGACATTATTAAATAAAACTATCTTTTCGGATTATTTCGCGGATTTATTTTGATTTTTGGTTCCCGACGTTTCGAATGCTTAAGTTAAAGGTTGTTTTTTTTTTAAATAAAGTTATTTTTCTGGTTTTTTCCCGGTTTTTTATTTATTATGGTTTTTAACTTTTTAAATGACTGTGTTTTATTTAAAACTCGTCGTTTTGTTAGTGGTAGTTATTACTCATACAGCGATGTCTACCCATAAAATTATACAATAATAATTAGGAAGAAAAGAGAAATGACATTTAGCACCTTACAATATTAAAAAAAACGTCGCAAACAATAAAATTTAAAACCGTAAGAAAATCCGAAAAAATAGTTTTTTTTTAATATCAAATATAATTTAAAATATACGTAAATCTTAATAAGTATTAAATTAGAGACAATTTACAACATGTTTTTATAAATTAATTGCTTTCGAAATTGGTGTTGTTAAATTTCAATTTGAAAGTGTTGATTTAATAGTATTTTTAATATTCTACGTTTTCGCCTATAGTTTTAAGCCAATCTGGGTTATTTTTAATTTCTCCAAAGTTGGTAAGTACCCACTATTTCATTTTATCAAAATGTTACATTGCTAATACATTATTAGAGGTTATTTTGAAGTTGAAAAAACAAAACAAATTATAGCAATATAACAACAATATAGAGTTGTCAAATATTTCAACAATCACTAATATTAAGAAAAGAACTATGTTAACTGATTTTAAAATATCTCCATTATAATAAATAACTTTTATCTTTCCTTTAAAATCTAAATATTTATTTAAGAATTTATTTAATAACTAAGAATATTACAAAGATAAGTAATCTGCATTTTTTTATTTATTTATCACTTACTCACTTAAAAATTATAATAACACACAAATAAACTAATTAAGGCATTTATTGTTATTTATTTATCATCCTAAACTATACAGTTACTTATAAACCATTAAATAATGAGAGAATCCCTAAATCATGCACGTATACACAAAAACAAACATTTAGAGTGAGATAGATGTACTCAATATATAACATAGCACGTTACATGTCAAATTAGATCAAACAGAGACGTTGACGGTGACACTGTGCAAAAATGAGTGCTATTATTGACATCGACGCAATTCTATCCGAAAACGAGCAATGGAAGAAGTTAGAAGAAGAATGGGGAGTACCAATAGATCTAGAAGTTGATACAGAAGACGACACGCCCAGAATGAGACCAGTTTTTAGCACATTAAATCTGAAATCACCCACATTTGACTCATCATTCCTGTTCAAGAAAGTTACAAGGAAGCTTGGAAGGCAGTTATCTAAGCGATCTACAACATCTGCGCTAGAATATAATGATTTCATCAGCCACTTACGATATGATCCAAGCAAGGAATCTTCCAAACAGTTCTATTTTGTTAACGGCCAAATAATGTCAGCCGCGTCCATTGATGATATATGTGAAAAAATAGATGATATATTTAAATCTATAGAGCAGCTTTCAACAAGTACTATTAAGAAGAAAAATGTTCCAGATGTTGTTCAGTGTAGTATTTCAGCAACGGACTTGTCTTTTGACGATACGTTGGAAGAGACGAATTATAGTGAAATAGAAAAGCACATAGATGAAGCTTTTGAGCAGTTTAATTCAAATATATCAGGTATTGAAGGTATAGATCAAACGACGATAGATTCTGTGACGTCATTAGTTAGAAAGTTTAGTAACGCTTTAAATAATCCAGTGAGCAATTGTAGTCCACGGAGAAGGAAAGAGTGTTGTGAAAAGTTTAGAGAATTAGCTGATTTTTGGAAAAATCGCGCCTTTGAATGAAATGAATAGAGGGTAGGTATGTTTAGGATTTTTGATTTAGTTTAATTTAACTCATACAAAACATGTTATGTTAGATTGTACGCAGAGTACTAACCTTTATTTAAGTAGACAATTATTGTGAGAATTGAATAAATATATATAAAATTAAAGTTCGTATTATTTTATAATATCCGTTTTAATTAAAATACAGTATTTACAAAATGTTAATTTTCATTATAGTAAAATTATTTGTTAAACATTTGCTACAACATAATATATTTCTACAATTTATACTGTAAAAGCTTACGTTTTATCAGAATTAAAATAATTACTCCTTCGTCTTATAGCAATTAATAAAATAAAAATATTTTTAATAGTTTCACTGTTTACTTAATCAGCATCGAACCTATAATGCTTAGGTAATTTTTTTTTTGTTTTAATTGAAAGTGACTATTACCATATTGATCACCAGCCAAAAGCTGCCATAACAATAGTTATTACAACTAGTCTTAACTAAAAGTAATTTTAATTATAAATATAAATTTATTTTATCACACTGCCACTAAATTGTCATATATAATGAAAAAAGTATGGCTAACCTTAAATATTTTATACCACGCTACGTAGAAAAAAGCAAGTATTAATTATAAGAGGAAATTCCCAATTATTTTTACTTTTAATCACATCCAAGCAATACGTCGCATCCAAGCCATACAGTCGACCGTCATATTCATACAAAGTAAAAGACCTTAGAAATAAGATAATTTAAACATTTAACATCCCAATCCAAGTATCAATAATACTTAACTAGTAGTTCTGTTCTGCATAAACAAGACAAATACACCTATTACTTAATTACCTGAACAGTGCACAACTAATAGAAATTCATGGTTCATTAGGCAAAGCGCGGTACGTTCGTCCACGGTGCAAGTTGGACGCTAAATCATGGGCAGTGCCTGTGGACCTATGGGTGAGGACATACGGGTGAGATGCAGACGCTACGTTTATGAAAGGCTTGAAGTTAGATGGAGTTAGGTTATGAAAAATTCAAGTCATTTCATGATATAATTTCGTTCAATATCTCAATTTAAATGCTACGCAAAAAGTAAGGAACGTCAAAATATTAGTGTAAGAATATTACATTAGTGATTAGTATATTTATTTTAATATTATAAATACATGTGTGGTTTATATTTATTATAATCTAGCTTTTGACGTTTTAACTCAATTTTAATTAAACTGGAAAATCGATTTTATCTGTAACGAAGCAGGTGTATTTATCCCACAAATGCCTATGTATTTAGACCATATTATTTGATTTCTACATTCCAGTGAAGAATAAGAATTGAACTCATAACTTAAGACCTATTAGACACAACCCCACACAATAACATCGACATACATATTTATAATAAAAGAACATAATTTTCTTTAAAGAAGCGTCAACTATTACAATATACGACCGTGTGTTTTCAATAACCCGCGCACTGACCGTAAGCAGAAACTTATTCGTGTTGTTCTGAGAGTTGGGCAGTTTGTCAATTTATGAGGCCGGCACAATAGAACGAGTGAAGGCAGATCTAGTTAATTGAGTTACGTTATGGACTAAGAACTATTACCTAATACTAGTTAAGAAATATCCTGATTAGCTACATATAAAACTGATATATTATGTTATACAAAATGTTTGGTTTAGTTTTATTAAACTTCGCAGGATCAACCGCTAGGCTAATTTAAAGATTGCCTGAAAATTTCATCAAAATCGCTCCAGCCGATGATTCCATAGGGGACATACACACATATTTTATATACTATATAAATTAATATGTGCGTAATATGTAAACTAGTATCGTAACCACTCTTCATTCTTACTGATGAGTTTCGTTTTTTCATTTTCAAATACAAAGTACAATTAATATAACGTTATAAATATGTTTAAAATAGAAATTAATATTTCTTCATGTTGTTTATTGATTTGACATGAATTTTGGTGCATTATTATACCCAACATTGATGGTAACTTAATGATGTGGTAAACTAGATCTGACATTATTTCAAGGACAATTTAGAAATTATCAAGCTAAAGGAACATTTTAATAATATGTCATATTTAGGCTTATCGATTAGTTTTGATGTAATTAGAATTTGGGAATTTAGTATATCTAGAATCGTGGAATGATATTTAAATAATTGTCTACCTAAGCTATAGCAAAATCGGTACAAACGTGAGGTAAAGTACATGCTCGACTTACAATGTTGATTACTTGGGTAGGTCTCAGATTCGATTTGCACACTTTATTACACAAATTTAGTTCAAATTGAATTGATTATAGCTTTTACCACCACCATCCAGTACACATTTTTATTATTAGAATAGAAAAAAGAATTATTCTCCCATAATCTCCTTCCATTCTAAAGCGGAAGACGGAGAAAGCATTTACAATGTTCTAAATCTAATTTTAACTAGGAACTTATTATCGCTTCGCTCGGGTCTAAGTCTAACAGTAGCCTATATACTCCACATGATGGTCTATCTATGTACCAAATTTCATCCAAATCCGTGCAGCCACTCAACATATAAACTTTCGCAATAATAACACATTGTGATTAAATGCATATTGCTCTTTTAAGTATGATAACTGATTGGTAGTTTTCATTTACTATACATACCTAATCAAATATTTTCGAAGTCGGTGTGCTTTGCTTTGTATGGGCTGGCACCGATTTCGAAAATATTTGATTAGGTATGTATTTAATAGGTAGGCTTTAATTACTTAGCCAAAGCACACCGACTTCGAAAATATTTGATTAGGTATGTATAGTAAATGAAAACTACCAATCAGTTATTTTTTACTTTTTAGTGCTTTTGTTTGAAGTCGGTTTTTATTTTTTTGTTAAAAAGTTTTTATTTTTCCCTTTTTAGTGTAGACAGTAGTAGCATAGTAAGGATTCTAACGTGTTAGGCTTGTCAAATCAAACAAAATAAGCCCAAACTCAAAGTATCTACTATTAGCCGTTGAACAGTTCCACCTATCCACCTTCTGGCCTTGCCATCAGATCAGGTCAACAACACCGAACCACTGTACTATTAACGGAAATAGAAATACTTGCAAAGTTTCAAGTCAATATGACAATTAGAGGTATGTTAAATTCATCATTAGTTGTTTTTCCACCCTTAGGGGTGGTATATTTTTTTGAAATTTAAATGGGACCAATCTGGAAGTATACCCTTTCAAACAAAACAAAAATTGTCCAAATCGATTAATAAATGACGGAGTTCTGAGGTAACAAACATAAAAAAAAAAAGACATACAGTCGAATTGAGAACCTCCTCCTTTTTGAAGTCGGTTGAAAATCTAAAATCTAATCTAAACCAGCGTAGCCTAAATTCTATCAACTCACGCTAACAAATGGGTCCAGTATGAATCTAGTGTTTAATTAGGTGCCTAAATTGCGGTTGCGGACAGCGACTGCTCACTGTGAACAAGTTATTACAAGGTGACCTGAGTGAAGTGTGGTTCAATCCTTATAAAATGTTAATGCGTATTATATCTGAATATTTTATAAACTAATATACTAATATTTTGTTAATCTATTAGTAATATAAAAATTATGACAAGTACGCTTATTAATACATATATTGTTAACGCTGACTAAACCTTAAGATATACATCGAAATGATATACTAGAAAATTATCTTTGTTAAAAAGGCCCACAAAAAAGTCCAGAATAGGATATGTACCTACGTTCCTAAGGTACATTCACAATAATTATTTTTATCTATTTAATATTTTGTTAATATAATAGTTTTGGGTCCCTAATAAAACTTCAAGATATTCCTTGCTTATATATATTCAATACTTTTATAAACGTCAGTGAGTTACGTAATTTATAATCATAACTTTCAGTATTACAAACAATTCGTAGTGACCTACATGGTGGTACCAACATCTCTGTGCAAAAGCGCGGGAAACAAATGAATATCCACGCCCTTTTTTTTAAAACACATTCCTATCGGCCAAGGTCACATTAGTAAATGCCTTACACATAAATCATTACAAATTAATCAAATTTATTATTTACTATTAAAACACTCAATATATAAAAATGCAACCTTACAATAGTAATATAACAATTAACAATACTAGTGACTTACCGTCCCTAGGTTTGGTTAGTACTGGTAGGATTTCGCAATTTTATGGGTTTATATTTTTATTAAAACCACAAAGTATTTCTACAAGATATCCAAACATTACATAATTGAAAAATTAAACTTAAAAAAATCTATTCCATATACCCTATACTTCAAGTTATACTATGTTATACTTAGCTATCCTAAATAATAAACTGTTCAAATTGGGGTTCCTTTAAAAAAGTTTCCTTAAAAAACAAAACAGTGTCGCTCCATTAGTGACGTCAGCCCGCGGGCCCGCTCTCAATCAATTTGAATGAAATCACCGAGTGAAGTGTTTTTTAATTAATTTTATGAGTGAACAACGCTAGGATAAGGAAAATAGGAAGTTGCAAAATTTGTTTTTTTTTTAATATGTATTTTTTCATATGTCACAGAATGGCTTGGTGATATCGTGGGTACAATTCTAATATGGGACTCAAGTTATATCAATTATAAAGCTATATAAGCTAAATAGTTATATGTTTTATTACTTATGTAGGCTTTTAAGCATAGTGATTTTTTTCACTTTTATAACATCTTCATTTGACTGATTATATAAAATGGGAGTTCGGATAGATATTCTTCAAACCAACTAATAGTAACTAGACGTAGTAATTCGAGCGTCTCTAAATAATTTCTTAAATAAATTTCAGCACTGTTGAAAGTGAGAAAGAGTAGTAGCTATTTACCTAAATAGCACTATATTGCATTTAAGTATTAACCATTAAAACAAATGAAAATATTCTTAAGATTTTAAAATATCTTTTAGCACAGACGTCTCCACGCCACTCTTGTCCGTGACACCGTCCACGCACTAATTCAATATGGCCGACGTAAGCCATTT